TCACTCACTCACACTCACTCTCTCATTCACTCACTCTCACTCACTCTCATTCACTCACTCACACTCTCTCACTCACTCACACTCACTCACTCTCTAATTCTCTCACTCACACTCACTCACTCACTCTCATTCACTGACTCACTCTCTCTCTCACTCACTCTCTTACTCACACACAAAAAAAGAATCCTCAGAGCCTGGGACCACCTCCCAGTGAACGCTGAGCCCAGGAGTCCAAGCTGAGGGGGGAGGGGAGCTGGGACCCTGGCGGGCCTGCCTCACCATGCTTCTGGGTGACATTCTAGAATGTTCTGGAAGCAGACAGTGGTGCGGGCTGCCCAGCCCATGGACGTGACTAATGCCACGGAGTCCCACTGTGAGTAAGAGATGGCCAGACCCTGTCACATGAGATACACCTTCACTCCAAATCCCACCGGAGAGATCCACCCTGCCCCCCACATCCCTCCCCAGCCAGGCAGAGGCCCCAGCCCCCGCCTGTGATGGGGCTGTGGGTCACAGCTGCTGAAGTACCTGACAACCAACACTTACAAAACAAAGAAGAAACAACCAAGTCTTTGAAGGCCTGAGAGGGGAAGGTCCTCTGCCCCTCTGTCCCCTCTGCCCCCCCTGCCCCCCTCTGCTCTCTCTGCAAGGTTCCCACCAGGAAGGACAGCACGTGCAAAGGCCCTGAGGCAGGATGTGCCTGTAGGGGTGGGGGGGGAGAGGAAGAGGTGAGGGCAGGGAGGGGGTGGACAGGTCATGCAGGTCCCTGTGGGAGCCCGCGAGCGTGTGGGCCGTACAGGGAAGGGACACGGTGCTCAGGGGCGAGGAGGACAGACCCCGGGGGCAGAAGAGAAGCAGGTGCGTGCCCTGTCTGCCTACCCCAGTGGATGTGAGCTGAGATACCCAAAGTCCAGCTTGTGTCCTTTGCCCAGGGTTCAGCGTGGATGCTCACTTACCCAGCATGCTCTCTCTCGTCCTGGGCCCGGCTCAGGAGAACCCCTCAGTAAGGGAGGCCCTTCACCCCGCTGGCCTCAGGTGCGGCCGGCAGCCAGGTGACCGCCAGCAGGTGGCAGCA